ATATTTATATATAATATTGAGTGGCCATTGATATTATATATAAAACATTTACTCCATTCTATGACGCCATTGACTATAACATGCACCAGGATAGCTTTTCATGACAAGGAATGCTATCAAATTTAATGGACACATTGATATTAAGGGAAAACTGAACATCAGAAATGTTGAAAATAAACAAAAACTTCATGTCTTAAACTAATAAAATCAATCTCTCTCATACTACACACACACACACACACACACACACACACACAACTACTTTCATTTAAAATATCAGGACTTATAGAAAAATTATGCAATAAGAAAAATAGTATATCATATGCTTAGAAATCATTGTTCCCTAAAGCACGTAATATGCCTATCCTCAGCCTATGTTTCTTGTCCTCATGTAGGCATTTAGCAACATAATCATAATACCGTGGAGCTAATCATTATCCCAAACATTACTTCCACATTTTAAAGCTACTTATCTAGATTTAGTCATCAAATAGCTTTGTAGCTTAAGGTAAGACTTTTTACTAAAGACACTAATTTGTATTATAGGTCAGGATGCCTCCCATCTATGTTCAGAAACTGATTTGCCGTTGGCAAAACAGAATCACAGAACAAGACAAGACTTTGTAGTCTGGGACAATTTTCAACATAAATAAGCTTCTTGAAGTATTTCATAAGTTCTCATCCATAATTCCCTGGCAAATCTGGGTATACTACCTATCATACTTCAATAAATGTAAGTTCAATATCTTTCTTAAAAGGCTTCAAATGGATTTCTTATTATTTAACAAATTCATGTATTTCTGTTGAAATGATCTATGCAAAATAAATAAAAGCACGTCATGCCAAATACCCAAAGCATTTAAATTTTCCCACTGTAGGAAAATACTTAAAATAGGAGATTCTAAAATAGTCATCTTAATCATTTCTATCAATCTAACTTTTTTCATTTATAAATGACACTGGACTAGATGTTATAAAATAAGTTACCATACCAAAGTGTCAACCTCCAAATTATGTAAACATACAAAGTTGGCAAATGTGTTTTCCTCATTTTTTTCACTTGTTTGTTTGCTTTTTTCGACTAGCCATATCACCTCCTACCCCATCACCAACGATCTACCAGAAACCTAAAGCCCTGACCTTTTTTGCCTCTTCCTTATTCTGATACGCCATCCAGGATTGTCTTATCACTCCATTTCCTCTCCTAACACAAAATATGGTTGCATTCCCTTTGTCTCTTGCCAGCTATTAGAAGGTAATAATGGCTGATATTACATTTTTCCTAAAAATGTATTTGGAAGGTAGCTTTTGATGTCTTCTTTCAAAAGAATAACAGAAATTTCAGGTCTATCAATAAGGTTTGTGTTGACTTTTATAGGTACTCCTCAGCCTATCATACCGGTTATTTAGGAAATTGTACCAAGAAGCTCCCAGAAAGAAATGTAGAACCAAATGTTCACTCAGAGAACATATAGCCAATTCACCTGAAAGAATATGGTCCATTTTATTACATTACAGATTATTACTAGATTTAAAACAATGAGAAACAACAATGTACGTTGAGTCTCTTTAATAGTATATCTGTTGCTACTCAAATTCCTTCATAAAAGTATATTACAAAGTCAGTTATGAAGAATGTTTAAATAAAGTCCGCTATTTTGTTAAGCTGGCCTCTAAAATTATGGATTATTTAAAGAACATTCAGGAAAACAGAGAAATAAAATTGCCTAGCCACCATGTAAAAATATATTATGCCTAAATTCTAGGAGAGAATGTGCTAATGGCATCCAGTTGATCTATTTTATGAACACACACACACACTACTGGGGAGTCAGACATGACATTCCTGAAGCAAAGAAGAAAGAGTAATTGAAGCCCTTCTTAGAAATATCAATATGAAAATATGACATGCTTTTTGTTGGTAACGCCATGGGCTTTGAGGTGGGGGGGGCGGAATTAATATAAGAGAGCAAATAATATTTAAAACAGTGGTAATTTGATTTAGTAGAATGAGTGTGTACTTGGGAGTCAGACAGACCCGGGTGAGAATGCCATCTCTGCCACTTACTAGCTGTATGAACTTGGGAAAAAACATCTCTCTAAGCCTTCATTCTCTACCCATAAAATAGGAATAGCAATGCTTGACTCACAGAATCTTTGTGATGGTAAACTATAAAATGTTTAGCATAGTGTTTGGCACAAAACCCTAACAAATCTTTCTTTCTCATTTTCCTCCCACTGCTTACAATGTATTATATGTTCTTGCTTGAATCAGATTTGATCTAACAACTATTGTGCCTGCATTGCAGAATGTTTGGGGAAGTACACTATAAAAGATTTGGGTTCTCTAAGTTCAGAGTCCTTCTATAACTCAGCCCATCGGGTGTTTGTGTCACCTGGCTCTCTGCACATTGTCTAAAGGGAATTGGAGCTCAGGGAACCAGCATAAGTACAAATATTCTGGCCACTGTTATTTTTTTTTAATGAGTAACATTAAAAAAATGTTCTTTGATTCAGGAGTCTTGTGTCTCAGGAGCCTAGCATCTATGAAACTGGCTGGCTAACCTGTTTACTTGAAAACAGTAAAATCTCAAATACCTCACAGTGCTCGATGACTATCATTAAAAATTAGAGGTGGGAGTAACATAAGCATATAATGAATAAAATGAATAACCCTCCCCCCCACCCACACACACACATATGTATATTCAAATAAGGGCATTTTTAAAAGTCATCCACTAAATATGGGGAAACCTGATTTCAGGGACACAGGATGTTTGACAAGATATGTATGACTTTGTTGGGTTACTCTAATTGGCACCTTTGCTACTGGAATACTCATCACCAATAGCCAGGTCATATCCTGATGGCAATAAATTCTCTAACTTAAAAAAAATGGGGAGTTCAAATAAATCATTGTGAAATATGCCTTAGCTCTCTATGCCTCCAATCCTCAGGCCTGGTCAACTAGCTGGGAGGCAGGCTATGTAACAGACTGATCTGAAAATCCCTACCAGTGTTTTTTTTTATAATCTAAAGTCCTCTTTTTTCATTCTAGATACCATGTATTCAAAAAAGAATAATAACATTCATATCTGATACCAGCTTTAAAGCTCCCCTTAGGGCCTCTCAACCACCTCCTGCTATTAAATTCATTAGCTGAAAAGAAAAGAAAGGTGGAAGAAGGAGGAAATAAGGATAAAAGGATGAAAGATGGAAATGGGTCTGTCTTTGGCAGAGGATTTCTGAAGGTCGTTCCTAGGTAATGATGTGCCCTTACCTGCACCTGGGTCCATCTCCGGCATCCTCGAGTGCTCTTTTCCCTCATCTGCGCTGCTAACACCAGACTCAGTGTCATAGGGGCTGCGGCGGTCAGGTTCCACAGCTTCAGCTATTATCTGTCCAACTGCTTGGAGATCATATGAAATATCAAAAGGTATAAAAACAGGTCATGGAAACGTTGCTGAGCTATTTCACATCATTTCAGCAAAGGGGGTTAATTTAAAAGTATTCACATTAAAATGTGACCTTGTTTTTAAAATCTAGTAAGATTAAACAGCTTCCAAGCTATAATTTCAAAAAGAAAACACAATAGAAGATCATGACATAAAGAAATCCATGCAAAGAAATACTTGCATTAAAAAATGACAACAGCCAGAAGCAGTGACAGATTTGCCAAACGCACATGCCATGAAATGATTGAAAAAGGAGTTTGGTTGCCTTTTCTTTTCTAGAAACATGTGTTATAACTTTTATAACACCAATCACCACTGTTATTTTAAATTGCTAAAACTACCAGAGCTGACTATACTATGCACATTTCATCCGTTAGTACATTTCTTCTGTTAGTACACCCCATGTGGACAGAGCAAAAAAGTTATTGCACGATTCCTGTAAATTTGACAGTAAAAGCTGATGTAGAAATTCCTGTGATCTGTAGATCATTACTAGCATGGAACTTCAGGAACACAAAGATCAAAGTTCAATTTCCATACTCCATACTAACTGTGTCACCTTGGGCAAGTTCTTTGTCCTAAGCTCAAGCCTCAGTCAAAAAGAGGTACCAGTGGTTATTGGGAGGATTAAATGAAGGAATATATGTGGAGCATGCTTATCTTTCACTTATTAGCACATGCCTAAGCACTTAATAAATAATGGCTATGATGATGATGAGCATGGCTATTAAAAGTATCATCATCCAATCTGTTATAATTCTAGGCAACACTGTAATATCAATTAAGTTGGTCTTTAGTTTCTGACAGGTCCCTGACTACATCCCCTGCTTATCATCTGATGGTCCATGTCCCTAATTCCCTGACATCTGCCATTATACTACCTTCTGGTTAACAAAAGCTCACTCAGATAACACTAGATCTAGATCTACTCTCCAAGATAAGAACATGTTATCTCTAAAATGCCCTTTCCTTCCTTCCCTCCCTCCTTCCTTCCTACCTTCCTTCATTCCTACCTTCCTTCCTTCCTCCCTCCCTCCCTTCTTCCTTGTTTTCTTCCCTCTTTCACTTTCTCCCTTCTTTCTTACTTTCTTGTTTCCTTTCCTCTCAGATGTTCTGATTCAGTTGAGATACTGTGAGAAAAACAGAACTAGAATGTGGTCTCTTGCTCAGTTTAAAGCAAATTGCTAAGGAGTAGTTAGTTACTTACTGATCCCTCTGTATTTGGAAACAAATAGTGAAACATCTGCTTTATGTGGCTTTGCAGGAAAAAAATGAGATGACTTAATCTTAAGAGAGCGAAAGTAGAAATGAAAAGAGGTACATCATACAGTTTAAATGTATTCTCTTTAAAACATTTTTTGAACATTAATTTTCCTCATTCATACACTATGCCAAATTAAAAAGGTTTTTCCAATAATTTAGAGATGATATCAACTTATGAAAATTAGGTTATAGTTGGGTTTATTATCAAGTCAACCTTTATTTTAGGAACTTAATAAACATAGTACATATAAGTTATATATCATCTTTACCCACTACAATAATGTTAACACTGTGTAACTAGAGAGTTTAAATATGCAGTATTTTAGGTCTTTGTGTATAAATCTGCTTGGCTGACTGGGCAATAGAAATCCCAAGGATGGTAGGACAAGAGAGGGTTGGTAGAAGTCTGATTTCCTAGCAGTTACTTGAAGCTTTGTTTCATCAGCGCCAACAAGACAGCTAAGATTTATTTCGAGTAGTCCACAGGCTATAAAAAAATATGGCTTATTATATAAATATGGAATGATTATGTTGTACACCTGAAATTAATATAATGTTTGTCAATTATACCACAATAAAAAAATTTTAAGAAATATGGTTTATAATAATAATAATAAACAATAATTAAAATAAACAATTAGCAGCTATTAAACCAAAAAACTATTCTAAGAAGCCAAACAGTACTAGCATAATCTGAAAATCACAACTCACTCAGAATTGACAGTGAAGCTTGTAGTCCCTCTGTCTCAGGACTGTAATCACCACTTGCCCACGTCTGCTGGCTTGCCCCTGGAGGGTTATGCTTTGGAAGTAGATGAAAGCCTGTACAGTTATGTGTTGCCTGCTTCAGATTCAGCAAGAATGAGACCCTGTCCTGAGCATCAAGGACTTATTAGGTATGAGACCAGAAAAAGACTTACTACTCGGTCATTTTTTTTCCTCAGATGTTCTTCTGAAACTGAAACTTAAAAGCAAGAACTTGGCCAGTGTGTAACCTTGACCATTTCCCACCTATAGTAAAGGAGGCCTCTGCATGCTGAGACTCCCAGACCAGCAATGTGACAAATCACTTTGTTCCCTCTATATAACTCTCATCCCTCAAGGTTCTTCTCCTTTACCCCTCCATAAAGATGACCATTAAAAGCAAAGGTAATTGTCAGTCCTCACAGCTTTTGCAGCAAAATGAAAGAGGCTTATACAAAAAATTTCTTAGGAAAGCACTTTTTCCACTCATATGATACAGGATATTTTCAGATGTTTTTAAAAAACCAAAATATTCTTGTATTATAATGTTAGCATTTTATTATGAAAACACACATTTTAAAATAATATATTGTACTTTCCCTAAATATGAAAATAGTGTATAATCATAATCTAAAGTTTGAAAAGATAAAAAAAGAGTACAAAGAAGAAACAAAAACTATCCTAATTTCACCACTCAGAAAGAACTACTAGTTAACATTTTGGTGGATTTCTAAGTATTTTTTTCTCTACTCTTATTGCAGATAGCATTTTGTATACCATTTTATTAATTTAGCAATATATTATGACTATTTCTACATATCATTAAATAAAAATTCTTCAATTACTGCATAGAATGTTCTAATATGGTTTTACTAAACTTTGGTTAACCAATTGCCTGGTATTGAATATTAAGTTATTTCCATTTTTTTTTTTTTTAATGATTATAAAGCTATGTTAAATAGCACTTACAATCACTTTTGCACTTATTTTGGACTATTTCCTTAGGATAAATTCCCGAATTGGAATTGCTGGGTCAAAGAGCATGATATTTTCAGAAGCTTCTGTTACGTTTCTGTATGTTCTTTAGAAAAGGAATTATCAATTAACAAAAAGCCTTATGTCCCTGTACTATTGCTGATAATGTCACAATTTCCACTAATTCTTTATATATTTGATAATTTAGCAATTGAAAAGTGATAGCAAGGATACAGTTTTCAATATTAATAAGCAAGCTTCCTAAATTCATTCTCTCTCCTCTGCTTGTTTTGAAACAAAATAAACTGACTGCATCTCAAAATATACCAAGATTCTTAAGCAGTTAAGTATCAAAAGAAAGTTTTGCCAATAACTTTTCATCTGAATTTTAAGAATGTAAAAAGGCACTAAAAGCAAAGATCTATCAAGTATATTCTAAGTTCCCGGTCACCTTGAAAACTATCCATGTGCTTTGACCATTCTTGTGTAACCAATCAATTATCTTCCCAACATCTCACCACGACAAAATTCATGACTAACATCACCTGCCGACACAGTGAAGATGTTCCTGTGTTACCTTTGGCATTGAAACATGGCCCACAAAAACCCAGGATTAATTACAAACTCCAGACCACAGCTGTTCAAAGATAACAGCTGCAGAAGCTAAAGTCTATCCTCTACACGTTAGCTAAAATAATCCTTCCAAAACTTTCAGATCATGTCATTTCTATGCTTACATTTTCCCAATGGCTCCTTATGTCAGAATTAAATCCTCCCCATTGCATACAAGTGTCTCCCTCTGGCCTTAAATTTGACCACTCTCTGGCTTGTCCATTCTGCTCCTGTCACACTGGCCTCCTTTCCAAATCCCTCACTGAGCACCTATGCCCTAAACTTGAGTCTCTGCATTTGCTGCTGTTCCCTCTGCTTCCAGTGCTCTTTCTTCAGATAACAAGAGTGGTTCAGTCTCATACTTCATTCAGGTCTCTGTTCAAATGTCCCCTCAATCAGAGCGCCCATCCTTAAAATACCACACTCCTTCCTCAAATCATCACTCTATCTTCTTACCCTTATTTATTTTTCCTCTAGCACTTAGCGCAGATACCCTGTTACATGTTTATTTTCCCTTATTAGGCATATCTCCCCTTAGAATATAAACTTCATACAGTCAGAGACTTCTTTATGTTCACACAAAGAACAGTGTGACATAAAGCAAATACCCAACAAATAGTTATTGATAGAAGAAATCTGTTGGAATGGACAACTACTTGCTTTCACAATTGATTCAAAAATTGTATTTAAACTGCAACTCATAACACATGATTTTTTTGTTCTTTCATCAGGACCATTCTATCCTGCTTGTACGATAATAAAAATGCATTTGACTTTACTCATAGCATTATTTAGGTTTGTATTACCTGGTCAAGTGCCATGACTTCTCCCGATTCACATCGAAAAGTATAAAATGCCTACTTTCATATACATTTTGCATTATACTCTACTTTATAATATTTTTTTCTTAATGCTTTATTTATATTCATAAGGTATAAATTATATTAACTTTACAAATTAATGCACCTGAATTGTTCCACCATTAGAGCATATAGCAAATATTGTATCATAATGCATTAAGACAGCTTAAACTAAAAATAACATAAAAATAAACATGTTAAAATAACACTGTGCTCTATAATACTGGATTAACTTCCAAGGACACACTCTCATTTTAGCTAGCAATTATGTTTTACATTATCTACTTTACTGCATTCAACTCATCTTTTATATCAGTTCACTGATTTGTTGGTTGACTTATCAAAGCCCAATTAAGTGAGACATATTATAAAATAGTTAGAAGGAAAATATCACTTTATGTTATTAACCTGAAAAATACGAAGGCACTGAATGTAGTATTTTACAAATTTATCCACTGCTATAATCTTAAGTGAAAACAATTCAAATTAAGTTATATTAGCTTGCTCACTATAAAACATCATTAATCATATATAATACTTTAGTCCATAGATCTATTCTTAACATAATCACAGTTTTTATTCTGTCTAGTTGAAAAGATGATTAATTTAACACGATACAAATATGAGAAATAATCTTTATATGTTATCTCAGCCTTCATTTTATTTCAACCTAAGGATTTAATCAGGGATCTAAGTAAAATATATGCATTTCAGTCTTTACCAGCCTTCTGGTCTAATTTACATAAGCTGTGTTTTGCAGCATAGTCACCTAAATAATATTCATCTCAAATATATAACTTTGATTTTATCCCTCTCACTTCTAAGCCATTTGACTGAAGAGTCAATTAAGAAAGAAGAACTATCTATAATCTCTTTACTTGACATCAATATCAATATAACAAATGATGAAATCAAGATCTGGTTGATTTTATCTGAAATTTTCTTAGAAATGGTTATTTACATAAAGGTCTTTGAGAATATTTATGACTCCTTTTATTGTTATTTCAAATATTTACAAATTTATTGCATCATTCCTTGAGTATATTTTTAAAACATCAGCACTCAAATATTATAATCTATTCATTCTTAGATTTTGATAGTACTAATTCTTTTACAGCATTCTGAATATTTTTCATGGTCTTTGTTTTGTTTTACTTATTAATGTTTTATTTTCCACTATACTTTATATCTCTGCCTCTGGACTTTTGTAACCCAGAAATTTTGTTCTTTTGTGGAAGGTGGGCCATAGAACAAATCTATCAGTTCTTACATAAAAGGCTAAACATTTTTTTTAAAAAAATTTGCAAAGTTATAATATACTAAGGCAATACAATGGAATAACATGTACAATAAATAAGAATAAAGTACAGTTATGTGTGCTGATATGAAATAATAGTCAAGATAGTGTTAAGTGAAAAAAGCAAGCTATAAAACAAAATGTATCACATTTTTATCTGTATATAAATATGTGTACATATAATATATGAATACATTTATATATGTATATATGTAAAAAAAATTTTCTGGAATCATGTA